ATTTCCATTATCCGATAAACTAATCCCCCTGTTTTGTTCAAAATAGTCTATACAATACTATGTTCAAGTTCAAATATTTACGGAGATACGACTCCTAACTTCTACTATACTAGTTGTGTGTGCATAGAATAGGAAGATGTGTACAAAGCAACTCACTCAAATTACATTAACGTAATTAATCGGTCTAATTGAATCACGAGTTGAATGATGTTAATACGGCTCTGTAAATTTTAAAATATACGTCCGGTATGGAATTTATACGGAAGAAAGCGAAATGAAAAAGCACTTTTAAACTTTCCTCGATCTAAATGGCTACGGCTTGTAGAAACTCTCCGGGTAAGATAAAAAATTTTACTTAAAAAACGGACAGGAGACTTCATTCCGAAGAAAGTAATTGTATTTTTTTATCTTTGCTGTGATATACGTGAAATTTATTTCCTCGTACATACAAACTGCACGGTATTTTCGACCGTTATGGTTTTCAGATAGAAATCTAAATTAATAAATTTCATATTTTATTAAGTGCTTTGTGAATTTTTATTAATATGTGAAATTTATGTGTGAATTAGTTTATTAGTGAATTTATTTTATTAATATTTGTGAAATTATTTTACTGAGGTGTCCAGTTTATTTTTAATAAATAACAAACTATTATAAAGATACAAACCGAATACCGTTTCAAAATCCGTTTGACTCTTTCTTGAAAAGTACCTGGAATTTCGCATTTAGTAGACGTTCGAATGAGATTCCTTGAGAAAAACACTTTAAACAGAACTTGGAAAATTCAAATCGGCAACTCTAAATATTTGCGTACATGTCGGGCAACTTCGCTGCCAACCTTTCATAATTACGTTAAAATTTAGTGTAAAGATTGTTGTGGTCGTCGGGATCAAAGAAAATGAAATTTCGGCATAGAGAGACTCGAAACAGTTGCTTCAAAAGTTTTATGATGGCCTCGTTAAAAAGAGTGACGGTATGCAATTCAATCATTATCAATGAGATGTTATCACACGCTTACTGTTTTATATAAATGTTTTAATCTCAATTAATTTTTCACATTCTGTACGTATGGTACAAAGCAATGCATACTGTTGCTCAAATTTCGAAGTTTATAGTTAAGGGGAATGCAAAATACATGCACGAACTTGCGACTAAATCCCTGTAGATTCCGAAACTTTGCGAGCATAAATACACCTGCCCGTAAGTCACTTTTACGCCTATATATGTACACTGATCATGAGTTTCAAATTTAACTTCGTTGAGGAACTACGCATTTCACTGTTCAGTTTAGAAATATTCAAATAGAACAAATTGAAAATCGTATTTGAAATTGTTTCTGTGGTTCCATGATAAATATGAAATATACACAATTATGAACAGTACAATCTTCATGGAAATATTATGTTCATGTGTTGTAAAATTTTGAATTTATATATTTCCTTCATTTTCATACGGTTTGTAGATATTTCTTTGTGGCAGTGGATGCATTAAAACTAAATGTAATTGCGCCGGATCCCAACTTTACGAAACTTTATGAAATTAATTTCTTTTCAAGTTTAACCCTAGGCCATCGAAGAAATTATGCTTATTCTCGGAAATTACATCTTTTTTTTCTCATACTTTTATTAAAACTGATTTTTCAAAACAGTCACGTTGTTAGACCGGAAAAGAGACCTAAAACTTTCCTGATATGCTTAATTCCGACGTCTAATTCTCGTTTGAAACGAATTTCCTAAATGAAATCGGATATAAATAAATAGGTTAACACAACTCAAATATTTTTTTAATTACGACGAAGTAAATGCTAACGATTTGAGATAATTTTTATTTTTTATTTTCCAGCACTAAAGCATTTCAAGAATTAGCAGGTGTGTCGTGATTTTTAAGATATTATACCATGTACAGCACAACAAAATTTAGGTATTTTGATCTCTAGTAGTAATCTCAGTTTTTAAATAAATTTTTAATCCCATTGTTATTGTAAATACAATACTATAGTAATAATGAAAAATATTACCAGCGCACTTTTCATTTTTTTATATATTGCACATATATAACAATTATTTTGTAATATGGGTGTATTAAAATTCGATGTACAGAATTTCACTAATTTGCAAATAAAAATAATCGACTGCTGAATATTTATCCCGCATCAACGGAAGTTTAATGCATTTATGATGACATCGCGTGCACTCTTTAATTTTTCATGTTATTACCAATTTTCATTCGTTAAAATTGAAGTAAATTCTATACATTAAATTTAACCTTCATCGGAACTGCAAATTAGGATTATTTGACAACGCCATCAAATATTTTTCAAAAGTTTTTCTAATTATTTTCCTTACATTTCCACGTCGATTGTTGAAGACAATTTTTAAACGTTGGAAATTCTCGATCTCTGCATTTACCGAAGTTTTTCCACGTCGTATTTTTCCAGGGCGTTAAAAAAGATTTAGCTTTTTTTCCTAAAATCCTATTGATAGAAAACGTCATGTGGAATCAAACGACCTTGATTAGATGTTTGCTAGGTTTTTTTGTTTCACCCTCCACCGCTGTAGGGTTTTACAAAAAGGATTGTTAAGACCCTTAAAATAGACTAAATTTAAACTGATATTGACAAAGAAATTAATTATTTTAGTTCGATTGCATACATATACAGAACGTGGATGGAAGCTTTTTTTTTATGTTAATCAAATTTAAATACAGGCAATATAAATAAAAACCACTTAACATTTTATTATTTCCAAATTGGGTTTATACAGCACCCTGTGTAAAGTTAAACTAAAATCCCTTAATTCCTGCGTAAATGAACTATTTATCATAAAAACTGAGAGTTAGGACTATGTGAATAGCTCATTGTCGGAGCAAAAATTTTAAATACGTAGCACTTACCTATTATTATAAGGAAACATATTAAGTTAATTGAGTACTATGTAATCAGGAAGCTTATTGACTAATAAAATTTAAATGAATCTAAAAAGGATCGCATTTTAAAATGGTCCCACTGATCCATTAAAAAAATAAAAATCGACTTATTCTTTATTTCATCTATTCTTTACTTAATAGCTTCCTAAAAGTTAGTTAACCGAATAGCACAGCACTGGCCGGAACCCTTACCAGAATGCGGTCGTATCTTTCCAGCAGCAGTCTCCAGAAAAGAGATGTATAAGGAGCGAGTCTCTCAAATGACTTAACCAAAAGATACGAAAAGGGAAAAGATCAGTTCAATTAACTGGGGATTTGTCTTTAACGACACGACTGAGTGCAAACTAATGACAACATTATCAGACCCCAAAATCGCTTTATGTTTGCATGCTCTAATTTAAAAAAAAGAGTTGAGCGAGTAATGACCACGTCGTGCTAACGCTGAAGAATATCATGTAGCAGATTTCAGGTAAAAAATTTTTACTAACGTTTAAAAAATAACTGATTAACGTCGTTTATAGAAAGCCGGATTCATTCGTGGAAATAATAATCTTAGGTCATGTCTGTTATGGACTAAGTGTCAATAATTAATAAATTTAAGAATAATCAACACCGCGCTACTGAAAACATATTTATCGTGCTCTGTTAGATATGAAACATAAGTCGATGAATAAATTTTGTTGTGCATTATACCTACTAAACATAGTCTATTCGAAATGTGCAAATAATAGATGCAGGGACATTTAGTGAAAAAGCGTCTACAACAGAGCACACCATTGCAATTGGATGATTGTCTTGAATTTTATTTATGGTCTGGATCTGAATTGGTCTGTCTCGAGAATAATCTTATGCATATTGTAAGTAAACTTTTTGTTTTAAAATTTGCTTGTATGAGTTTGCGCCAAAAAAAATTATCTACATTAATTGTTAAGTAATTAAATTTTACTTAATATTTTATTAACGTGTCACGTGTACGCTTTTTAACAACAAACAATTTTAGCGCCTTAATGAGAATTTTTAATTTAATTCTGATTAATAAATTTATAAATACGGCGTTTTCCAATTTAATAAAGTTAAATGCAACTGGGTAATCAGCTTATTTTATTTTGGTTAATATTGATTAGGTATACATCAAGTTAATGCTGGCATTCATATACCAACATAGACAATCCGGATTATAAAACAAAAAATATTTCCAACATTTTCGTGGGGAATAAAAGTATTAAATAGAACCAAAAAAAATTAATACATGCACGGATATTCGCTTTATTAAAATAAATAACAACCCTTCTATATGGTAAATTCCCGTTGTTTTCCACAAGCAAATGTTAATGACACTTGAAATCCTTCAGCAAACCATATAATGAACGTATAAGCTGTTTGGAACTTTTTTACTTTGGTAAGTAGAAATAAATAAAATTCATTCTTTTTGGCATTCTCGCTATTTTTTATTCGATTTTCAACTTGCCGTTATTTCTATCAAAAATAAAACTGATAGCTAAAGGTCAATATATAATTAGGTATAATAACTTATTTGCAATAAATATAATCATTTTAGTTAAAAATATTTCTATAAAATCAGTCCTTGACTCACACAACTGGGTCTATTGTTAAAATTCGGCCATTTGGAATAAGTGTTATCGTATGAATTTTTAAACGGGACATTTCAAGTGAATTACATACTGGCTTATTTGTGATAAGAAATTTTTGTTCTATGAATATTTCAAACTACAATATTACTAAATGTTTAAGAACAATTTAATTACTGTCAATTGATATTTATGTATTTGTCTAGAAGTAAGCTCAATTTTCTGGATGTTTAACCACAGGTAAATTGTTGCATTTTTCTCTATTCAAAATTACAGATCTAATTTTTATACCTCTAATCTGTGTTTTATTCGCTGGTCATTTATTATTAATGCCGACCTTGCGTACTGTAAATTGCTGTTTAGTAATGCCAAGTTCATGGTAAATTTTTCTGTGAAAATGACAATTGTCTCCAATTCACCACATCATTAATTTTATTAAATAAATATTAAGCTTACGTGAAAAAGTTAGCAGTACTATTACAACATTTATTATGTTAACACATAAAATATTTTGAACGAATAAAATTTTATTGTTTTAGGTCGGGAAATTTTGAAAAATGGATGACAATCTCATTGACTTAGACTCCATGCTCAGCCAAGTAGGCGACTTCGGCAGAGCTCAGATTATCTTAATGGTGCTCTTCAGCTTTATAAACATTTTATCAGCGTTTCATTATTTTGGCCAAACCTTCATCAGTATCGTGCCCAAACACACATGCAACTACGAAATTTGTTGCGATCGAAATGTCACTATAAATAGTTGTGATGTTGTTTATCTGCAGAATAATGACACGCATATTTCAGAGCCTTGTGTTAGTGGTTGGAAATATAACAATACACAAAGTTTTGGATTTATAGGCATCATTCAAGAGGTTCGTTTAATTAAGTTGATTCTAAATTCCTAGTGCTACAGAGTAATTTCCAAGTGTATAGAAATGTGTTCTTTTAGTTGAATTGGGTCTGTAACGATGATTGGAAACCAGCTCTAGGTCAGTCGGTGTTTTTTATTGGTTCTGTAATAGGAAGCTTGGTCCTTGGAGTAATAGCTGATATAATAGGGAGGCTACATGTTTTAGTCATAGCTAATTCCCTAGCTTTTGTTGGAAACATATCGACTATTCTTTCAAAAGATGTAGCAACATTTGCTATTAGTCGATTTTTAGCTGGATTAGCAACTGATACGAACTTTTTTATGATGTACATAATAGGTAAATATGAAAAGTAAATAATGCAATAATATGCACGTATAATTGGGACTTTATTTTTAGTAATGGAATACATGCGTCCCAGTCACCGCACTTTAGGATTGAATTTATGCATTGGGATTTTTTACTCCCTGGCATGCGTAATCGTACCATGGACGGCAGTACTACTAAAAACTTGGAAGAATTTTCTTATATTCGTCTCTGTACCTCACTTATTAGTTATATTTTTTTACCTAATAGTTCCAGAAAGTGCTCAATGGTTAATCAGCAAAGGTAAAACGGAAAGAGCTATTAATTGTTTCAAACAAATAGCAAAGATTAATGGAAGACACGTTGATGACAAAGCTTACGAAAACTTGAGAGAGTACTGCAAACAGTATGTCAACGCTTCTGAACAACACGAAAGTCTTTGGGGCTTACTAAAGACTCCAAAATTGAGGAAGAAAACTTTGATTCTCATTTTTAAATCGTAAGTCAGGTCACATGTGAATTATTAACGTAGTAATTATTTTATTCTAGAATGGTAATGACGTTGGCATACGATGCAATTTCCCGAAATATAAATGGCCTAGATTACTCACCTTTTGTAATATTCTCGGTGGGATCGACAACCATTTTTCCAGCTTGCTTGTTCATTCTCGCTGTGCAAGACCGAGTCGGAAGAAAGGCGCTAGCAAGCAGCTTCCTCTTGTTTACCGGAATCTTCACGGTGTGTTCAGGCATAATCCAAGCTTTGGTATCGAATCCGAGTCCACCACTTATAATCACTTTGGAAGTAATAGCTAGATTAGCTATTACAGTCGCATATAACTCCGGCGCTCAGTATGCAGTAGAATTAATTCCAGCTGTGGTAAGAGGACAAGGAGTCAGCGCTATCCACGTAACTGGTTACGCAGCAAGCTTCTTCAGTCCGCAGATATTGTATTTAGCTCAGATATGGCAACCTGCTCCGGGAATTATTCTCGGAGTATTGCTCACTTTAGGAGCCGCGGCTTGCTTGTTCTTACCAGAAACATTAAACAGAACACTTCCAGTTACTTTGCGAGATGGAGAAGAATTCGGTGAGGATGAAGGAATTTTTGAATTCGCTTGTTGCAGAGTTACAACAGAGAGCACCGCGACGTTGTACAGAAGTGACGCTTCCTAAAATATTTTCTACTAATATTTATTAGGAAATATTGAAAAGCATTGTAATTATGAAACATCATTCTCACAAAGTATGTTATAACTCTGCATTGAAACTATTAAATATATAAGTATATATTACCAATTACACTGGCAAAGCGTGCATAACTATTTAAATAACTGCAAATATTACAGCCTATTTAGAGATTTGATAGTTTTGGTGAATTCAAATTTCCGCTCCAAACGGAAATCCATGTAATTATAAATGGATATTGAATACCCATTATATTAAAATTGGTTTCATTTATGTATTTGTGTGCTTATAAACTTTTGAGTTATTTTTGACATCTATTGAGGGTTTTTATAAGTACGAGTTCCATTAAATTACAGAAACCTGTAGTTTATAACAGGAAATTTATTTTTATAAAAAATTTAATCGTAATATTATTTTTATAAATATAATACTTACCCTTACAAATTACATAATTTTTGAACAAACTTAAAAGTATTATCGTTTCCACGTTTCCACAATTTTGAGGCCTCAGCTACTTCGGTTATTCGGTCTAATTAAATTGACGTATGCTGTTGACGTAAGACTTTGACGTATTGCATATTTCAAATTGCGTGTCAAAGTCAAACAGACAGAATCAAATGACAAATAATTTAGTGTTGTGTTTGGATTTGGGTTACTTTTTAGTGATAATTAATGGAAATTTTTGAAGAAATGTTTCCAAATTAAAGCCGTTACTTATTGATAACAAAGTTCATAGTAGTGGTAATGAACTGTTTGATTTGATATAAACAACTTGTATAGCGGAAGGTAAAAGTGATAATTATTTTTTGTATTTAAATTTATTGAAATTCCATTACAGATAATAAAGATGCAAGCTACAACAACAGAAATCGTATTTCTATTCATAGATAATGACACTTGCCTAACGTCTAAAAAATCCAATAAAACGGTAATAAGTAACGTTTACGAAGGTATTCCAGAGACTATTGTCTTGAATGTTGTATGCTGGTTATTACTTATCATATTATTTGCCATATTGAGAAACAGAGCTTGGGATTATGGAAGATTAGCGCTTGTCCACACTGAAAAATGGACGCAACTTTTTTATAAAAACACCGATGATGCTGTTGCTGTTGAAGAATCCAGTCACGAAGTGTCATTGATACCCGACACTGGTTGTTTGTGGTTCCCGTCAATTTTTAAAATCAATCGTGAGCGAATATACGCTAGATGTGGACCAGATGCTTCGCATTATCTTTCATTTCAAGAGCAACTATTGCTCTTAATGACGGTCATAACATTGTTTTCGATTTGTGTAATTCTACCCATTAATTTCCAAGGCCCACTGCAAGGAGATAAAACAACTTTTGGTCACACAACTATTAGTAATCTTCCATCTGATTCAAAATGGTTATGGGTGCATATTGCTGGATCAATTGCTGTCGTACCTTTGATGATATTTATAATGAGAAAATCTACAGGAAGGCTGCGAACATACTCTCATTTATCGTCAAGATCATTAATGGTCACAAACATATCGAAACAGCACAGAAATCCAGTAGACATAAAAAATTACTTCACTGTCAGATATCCTGGTATTGAAGTAAAAGATGTAAAAATGGCTCACAAAGTTAAGAAGCTGACGCTGTTGGAACAAGAAAGAGAAAAGGTTCATGAAGCGAGAATGTATTGCTTAAGTAATATTCAAAGAAGTGAAATTAAAATTCAACCTAAAGGCTGCATCGCTTGTTGTCCCTGCAAAACAATCAATGCATTGGAATATTACACGGCCCAAGAAGAGAAGCTGAACCATTTGGTAACGGTAGAGAGAAGAAAAGCTCTGGAGAGTCCATTAGGGATTTGTTTCGTCACATTGAACTCTGAAGAAATGGCACAATACGTTATTAGATCATTTGAAGCTGGTACTCATAGAAACTGGGTTATATTCAAGGCCCCATCACCCTCCGATATTAACTGGGAAAATCTGGAAATTTCATACAGGAACTGGTATTCCAAGGCGATTATTATCAATGTAGTTCTTTTTATAATATTATTCTTTTTGACAACTCCTGTAATTGTGGTAAACTATTTAATTAACATTACTAACGCTCAAGAAAATTTTATAAATAACAGCCCTGTGCTCTCAGAATTCTTACCCACATTACTTCTGTTGTCTATGTCTGCTGTAATGCCTGTAATGGTTGCGTATTCTGACGAATGGATGTCACACTGGACTAAATCCAAACAAAATCACGCAACAATGTATAAAACATTCATCTTCCTGTTATTCATGGTACTTATACTACCTTCTCTAGGTCTAACTAGCATTCAAGCACTTGTGGAATTTGACTCTTGGTCTGGGCATTCCAACTTTACTGTAAGATGGGAATGCATATTTTTAGCCGATAAAGGCGCGATTTTTGTAAACTATGTCATAACATCTGCCCTAATCGGTACAGCTTTGGAATTATTAAGATTTCCAGAATTAGCCATGTATGTTTACAGGCTATTGCTCATAAAATCTGAAGCTGAGAAAACGAGTATTCGAAAGGAGATATTGTCAGTTTTTCCTTTTGGAATACACTATGCTTGGACGTTGCTTATTTTTACAATATGCACGGTGTACAGTTTAACTTGTCCATTAATAACACCTTTTGGCTTGCTATATTTGTGCTTGAAGCACCTCGTGGATAAATATAACATCTATTACGTTTACAGGCCCATTACTATGTCTGGAGAAGGACAAAGAATTCACGAAGATGCTGTCAAAATGGTTAGAATTGCCGTCCTTTTGTTACAATTAATAACAGCCCTATTTTTCTTTTTAAGAGCCAAGTTAAACGCTACAACGTGCATTGCTTTCTTAGGGTTCGCAATTACGGCGGTATTTTTCTTCTTCATTGAACCTTTTCCTATTTGCAAACCTTCGTCGGCAAATCCGTTAGAATTGCCCTCAATTCATGAGGAGTATATTGCCCCAGTTCTAGTTAGCTCTAGCTCTATTGAGCCAGTAGACGCTGATAGAGTCTCCCCGACATTTTATGGCTCATCAAATCCTAACTCTAATAATGTTACATTACCAGAAAGTGGTACCAGCGAGGCGTAAATTATTCATGTGAATAATATTTTTGAGGCTGTGATAATAGTAAAACATGTTTTACAGGGTTCATGCTCATTATTATTGTGCGAGGGATGATACTTTCATTTGCATATCATTCTAGAATCTAGATTGTAAACAATAATTAATCCAGTTTATTTATCATCATAATGTTCTATAAAGCATTAACTAAATGTTTGTAATAATGTTCATTTAATGTTTAATAAAATGCGAATAGAATTTTGCAGTATTAAAGTTTGTAAAAACAATTTAATCGAGTGGTTGAGATCTTGCCCCCACACACATTATCTTCCATATTTTATTTATCTAATTCAGATCTAATTGCTCTAAAATTCATCACAAAAACAAGTCTTAGTAAAAACTACGCACAACTGACTCTAAATTTTAACTGTATTTAAAATCTTCATACCTACATTTATTAGTTAACGTGAATAATATTTTTAGAACGATAGAATTCTTGAACTAATATATCAACGTTTTAAAGTTAGTAAAAATAAATGTTTAAGAGTATAAGGCAGCTCTAATAGAAAATAGGTATATAGTTTACTAATCTAACATTGTTACAGAATATTCTACGAAATTTGTTTTTTTTTAGTTAGTCAATTTTTGCAGCATTTTACTTTCGTGTGTCGTAAAATTAGATTTTTTTTAGATTAAAATGTTAATGTATGTTGATGTAAAAAATAAGCAATTCAAAAATAGATTGATGGCTTTATGCTTTTTAACTGGTGCTTCATGTATTATAGCATAATTTCTTTTGAATATTTTATATAATTGTAAGCGACTGATGTATATTAAAAGATTGTATTTTTACTAATTTAAGGTTTGTTTCAATAAAAATAAGTATTTGCCTAAAAATGTTAATAACTTGGGTTACCGTAAATTGCTAAATAAAGCGTGGTGCTGTATTGCATATTTTTTTGAAACAAACTACTCGTTACAAACGTATGTTTAGAGATTTTATTTGATGGAATATCTAAATCAACGTTGAGTAATAATAATTTATATAATTATTTAATATATGCTGTTGAATTGAATTAATAATTTATATCGTAAAAAACCGTTATTGTGAAATAAATTTTTCGCTTCTTAAAAATAATGCAGTTACCTATTTTTTTCTACAAAATACGTACTATTCAACATTTATTTAAATCTAATCCGTCTATGTCTTACATTCTAGTCAATTGTAATGTTGCAGTCCAGTGTTTTTGTACTCTAAAGTTATTTCAAATTCATATATTACTTATTTTTCTATGTTGTTTTATATTGTATAGTTTATAGGAAATCATTTAGTTTGCAGTAATCAGTAAACGAATTTATGTAAAGAATTGTTCATGGTACTTGCTAGTAAATGATACTTCGAAAAAATATTTTAATACATATTTGTAATTCAATTCAACTTTTTGAATTCCTATATTTTTGTGATATTTTTATCATTTATTTATGTACTCTTCTTTATAAGCATTTATAAATAATCGGAGTTGATCTGTTAGGAATTTTGTATTCCAAATTACGGTGATGTAAAATTATTTAATCATATATTTGTATGTTAATATACTCATCATTCTATTCGATTTTTTACTATTCACATTTCTACCTCCGTTTTTTGGGCGCATTACTAAAATTAAAAGATTCCTATTATGAAATCATACAAATTTATTTACAAAATAATTTAATAAATTTTCTTGTACATTTATTCAGTTCATATAAAACATGAAAAAGAGTAACAACCTGGAACTTCAAAAAACAGAGTTAATGAAAAATGACTTGTCTTCATTGAATAATGCAACACTATCACTTAGTGTCCTTTCTTGGAAGGTTTGGCTAATTTCTCGTATTTGCTTTTACTGCTGTACCACAAAGCAAGAGGGATGAGAAGAGACGGAGTCGTCATCAGCGCGAAGGCCAACCAATCCCAGTAATGCGAAGAAAACTTCTTATCGTAATCTTTGAAGGCAATGATACCACCTTCTCCGGGCTCACTGCTTAAGGAAACTTGAACCTGAAGGGAACAGAGCATTAAGCAATAGTACTTTCAAAGCACATTTTTACTTACTTTGCCAGATTTATCGTCTGCGGCTTTGTAACTGGCTTCAGCACTCGTAAAGTTGAAGTATCCGTACCTCAAAGGTCTAACTACTACAACATGTGTTACGTTAGTTTGCGGAGGAATCCTTTCGAACGTAGATTTCAGATGGCCCCCGACAACTTCGAAGGCTTCAGGATGGAAACCGTTATCCACGAGTTTAACATCAACAGCTGCTGAGTTTCCAACGTTAAATAGGGTATATTTAACCTCAATATCCTTGGTTTCTACTAGATATCTATTTAAAATCTGCTTGGACACCAACAGTCTTGGACCAGTCTCTTCCTCTGTTTCGCACCAAGCGAAGGAAAACAGCACGAAAAATATAAAAAACACTCCCCGGTTCATTCTATAAAAATACCAAATTGGTTATAAAACACGAAAACTGCGTAAACTTAAATGAAAAGTAGCTCGAATATTACTTACTTGTTAATTTAATATATCACAACTGCTTAAATTACATTAAATTGATCCAACGGGATATTTACTTGTGGTTATAACCCGACAGAACTAAAAAATATACCGATTTCTCTTGATTCTGTCACGCCACGAAATCGCCACGTCTCGCAACTGTCAAAGAAGCTGGCAGTATTTAATTCGAGATTTACCCACCAATTTAATAAGTGGCGCTGTAGTAGTTAATCAGGCATTTTTTAGCGATCAAATTCTATAAGCATACAGGGTGGTACTGTGTGATATGAAATATCCTCTTGCACAGAGTGATTCATATTTGCACTGTATCTAGAACTTATTATATCATTACAGAATCTTATATGAGAGTTGAAAAAAGTTACATTTGTCGATTTTTCAAGAGATTTTAATAGTTAATTTTTGATTCTAATTTTATATTTCGGCCGATTTTTGAGACCATTGCACAAATAGCCTAATAGGTAAACTAAAAGATTTTCGAAAATATTACTAATTCATTCGATTTTCATGTAAATTTCACCCATTGGGTGCCCATAAGTATAAAACAAAGTACTAATTTTCCCCTTTTTATTCTGATAAATAGGTCTAATGAGTAACAAACATCAATGGTGAAGAGAATAGTATATTTCAAAAACGCACAATTTAAAATCAAACAACCATGGAAACAAAAAAAATATAATAAATTATAAAAATCACAATTCATATTCCACATAATGCGGAAACATCATCACATTTGCTTAGACCTCTATTTGGACGTAAAATATTAAATGTAGACTATACAGAGCGGTCACCTTGGAACCCTGCATTTGTCAGTTCGACTGATTCTCTCTTTTTACTGATTGCAGCGCTCGAACTAGGACGCTCGGTATAACACATTTTATTCAGAATTCGTATGTTTATGTTACCTATTTAGAATCAATTGTGTAAATGTTTGCTAATATACAGATAAGTGCAAATTGGTACGCTATATGAGTGCAGCAAAGACAACTTTCATTATTCTCATATAAACGAAAAAGAGTGATATTGTGTGATCGCATTTTTCTCAGTCTAACCACTATTATTTTAATAATTCTTTGTTCTACTCATAGAATTGACCAATTTGCACTTACCCATATATTACGGCAGTTTGAAATTTAACAAGGATAAGACAGCTTGTAAAAATCTAATTAAGAATTATTTTTTATCTAGACTTCTAACGTTCTAACACTAACATTTCTATGAATTATCCGCTTGGCACTTACAAAAAATCTGAATACAAACGAACAAGAACACTTAGCTTAAAGGCGTTTTATTTAAAAGTGAATCAAATAAATAATACCTAGTATAAATTTAATTAAAACCTAGCCCTGTTATTTAGAATATAGTTTATTGCATTAAGAAGATAATATTTGGCGAGTGTTATATACAATCTAAATTTTAATAAGGCTTGAATAACCTGCTTCAAATTAATGTATCGATATTTCTAATATACACAAATTGATAATACACCATCAACTTTCCTATAGACCCTGTATATTCGTCCACAATCATACAACTAATATAGGAACTGTATTAAATATACAGGTAAGCGCGTAGCTAATGATAAATAAAGATTTTTGAAGCAGGTTGCAAAAAAGTCGTTATAAAAATCTGCTAATTCTAGGATTACAATGCCTAAAAGAACCACAAAAGGTCAGGAAAAAACTTTCCAGATAAAAGTAATATGTTTGGGATACAAAAGATATTTGTAATTGTAAATAAAGTTTTACACTTCGAATCGGGCCATTACAATGTCTACTTGATCATTTTTGAGCAATTAAAGGTATGTCGTAATTATTAATTTAACTGGTATGGAACGATAGTTAAGAGAATGAACACCTATAAAATACTATAAGGCAGTAATTACAGACACACCCCAAAAAATGAATCTAATTATATTTTGTAGTAGTAAAAATTTACATTAGAAAACTCCATATATACATTCATTACAAAATTATACAACAAACTTTTTCTAGTGATCATGACAGGTGCTCTAAATCAATACATCAAAATTCGAAAAAACTAAAAAGATGCAATCTTAATAATCATCGCATCGTAGAAAATATAATTTATTCTAATCCCTGAAATGATTAGACTACTTAGTGTACATTATGATGACGTCTACGCAACCAAACAACCTAATTATTTGTAAATGCTTTTCTCACTTGGTCAGTCACTTGCTTTTCTAAATCTGCTTTTGGTAGAATTCCAGAATTCAGGGTGTATTCCGAAATTGTAATGTAAGCAGCCACGCAGCAACCTACAACGGCAGCTACGTACGTATTCTTGTTGAATATAATACAAGTCGCAATACACAAACCCAAATAGGTCAAATATCTCGACACAGACACAAAAGATTTCCTATTCTCTTCCGAGGCATCTACAAAATCAACCAAATTACAACACCAACATATAACGAAATAAAGACAAATTACCTATACAAAAGTTATCCTTTTTAAAATACCCATTAGCACAATTGATGCACATGTCAGGCCCATCTCCAGTACACCCAGCACACGATCTATCACAATCAAGGCATCGATAACTTCCTTCTGTATTAACACAGAATTGCAATGGGGTGCAAACACTTTTCGATCTCGCACATTCGTTTATATCCAAACAACCCTTCGTTTCATCATTGAACCAACCAGACTTGCACTTCAAGCAGCCTGAAAAGGTTAAAAAATTAAATATTTCATCTACAAGAGGCAACAATAAATTTACCTGAAGGTCCTGCTTTTGTACAGCCTTCTAGACAAGCCTCGTGGCATGGAGAGCATAATAATTTCTTATCATCTTTATAAGATTGGTAATAATTCTTAGAACAATTGTTACAAAAATCCCCAGTGTATCCTTTCTCACAGTGGCATTTACCATCGCCTTTTCTGGTACCAGCTCCTTTGCATTTACCATTGTTATTGCAAATATTATCCGGATAACCAGGGCAAGGAGTGCAGTCTTTTCCGAAGTGTAAATCTGGACAACACACTTTGTAGGTGTTGATACATAGGAATTCAAAGAGGTCTGGGTTAGATTTTTGATCCTTAAACCACCATTGTTCTAATGTTTCCTCGTATTCCTCCAAGAGATTGTAGCAGGATTCCTTGCCATCCAGGACTTCCGAGCATAATTTTTCATGTATTTCTACAAACCGGACCTCGCTGGTTTGGTAGCTTCCCAATTTTTCTTCTTCCCATGCCGCATCTCCTCCTTCAAATTTAAATTTTGATGTCCTTTCCAAACCCTTTAATTAATCACGAATTAACTTCAATTATTCGACAAATGTATAAATTCCTTACCTTTTTAAACGATTCTACAAACACTTTGCAAGCTCGGCATGCAGGCAATTTTACTGTATTTTTTGGCGTTTCTAAATTTCCTACTGCTTGAATTTCCCGGCAAATTACTAGGATAGTTAGTAGGCAAAAGTGTAAATGTACCCAACCTCGCATTTCTAGAACATTCAATTTACTAAACATCAAATGTTGTTAGATTCTTGCTACTGTTACCTGTGTTATCCACGTATCCCGGTTACTAAATACTATTTCAATTCATTTCATTTAAATTTGATAAGAAAATTGTTAAACCCGCAAACCACCTTCCTCCACGACATCAAGACCTTGTATATGTCAAAATTGTCAATATTGTCAATGTCAAATTGTAGTCACATATGTCAAAGGTCACAAAATTATTTTGTGGGATTCTGGAAATAGAAAACTGTAAACACGTAAAAGAAGTGTCCTATTTTCGACTTTTCCAATTTATTAAAAGATGGCAGATAAAATCAGGGATTTTGAGGAGCATTATGCAAGTTTCTAATTTTGAATTTAAAAAAAATATATTTAATATTCATAATTCAATTAGTTTATTTAACGGTGTTACTGCAATCACAATTCTTTACTGAATACAATGAAATGATAATGAAACTTTTTTATTAATTTCTGTAATTTCAGTAGATTTAACGTAAAATTAATCTAATAAAATACTTGTAGCATTGAATTCAACGTAAATTCTGTTGAAATTTGGATAAACCAAATTTGTTTAGAAATTGCCTTATCGATTGATGAAATACGCACAAACTAGCTGTAGTAACATTTTTTCCGAAGAACTATAATACCATTAAAAAGATTTATTCCACGGCAAGCTTAGCAGAACCTTATCTAATATTTAATACATTAAATATAATGATCGGGCTCTATCACTTATATTACCAATTGTATTAGCTCTATCTAACTAGCAGGATGGGTGAGGAATTTTAAACGAACCGAATGTAGTATTGAATTGATATTACATGTATTTTTTTAGATACCGATTTGTGGAAAAATATTCAATACATCGCCAGTGTTTGGATTCTTCCTTCATACATCACAGGTGACCAGTTGCTTTATATATCTACTGAGGTGTTTTTGCGCCGGTTTCATTTATGTGCGGTGTTACCAGAGCGGTAAGACACTATCACATTCAAATTAGGGCTCATTAATCAGATTATAAGTTCCCAGTAAGCGCAAATGTAGGAATACCTTTACTATATTATGACAAAAAGTCGTGCAGAGTGTATGTCTAGTTTTTTGTTCGATAAAATATTGTAAATCAATAAACTTTCGTAGTAGGCAGGTAGTTGATATATTTTATAAATTTGTGAATTTTAGTAACGCTGTAGATATAGCTAATTATTGTTTGTTAAAATAAAATGCACTTAAAATACAGATCCGTAAGTATTTTTATTAAATTTAGTTTACTTATGTAGGTGGTAATATTACCAAAATATTAACTATACATACATACAATCAAAGTATTTTATTTTAATAAAATTTATAATATTATAATTTTCAAAAAATATCTACTTTATGAATAAAAGTTTGGATGCAATGCTTCGTTTAATTTCGCCATTTCAACATTATGAACTATATTATACATAATGAAATTAAACTGTATTTGTAATTAATATACGTTCGTAATGTAATTAATATACGGTATTCAATATTTAATAAGAAATATATTTCAGAAAATATTTTAAATGTATGGTCAAGTCTGGCGGTCGACCAATACGAAATTGCAACCACGACTTTCATAGTTTCTGATTATCTAATTAGATGATGCTCCAAGTTGGTATTTGTAATGTAAGTTTAACTATATTTATTATTTATTTAACATTGTAATCTATATGCAATAGAATTTCAATGTTTGATACAACACAATATATGCAACTCACATTCACAAGTAATCCGTGGCGATAAAAAAAATCATTTAAAACTCATCATATTACACGTGTTTGATATAATAACAGATTTTTTAACGGAATTTTTATGCAGGTGTCTAAAATAAAAGAAACTGAAGATACAACACAGCCCGAAGAAACCACCGAAGTTATAGTTCATATTCAGCCAGAATCAAAGAAGAACGAACAGCGTCCTCAAACTATTAGAAAAACTCCTTCTAGAGTGTCGAATAAAATCCAAGAAGACTTTGACAAGATTTCGGTTGTTGATTTGGAGGTTGAGGAGCCAATTCCAAATCCTGTTCAAGTAGAGGAATCCAAAGGAAAGGAACAGCTTATTAAAGAAATAGCGGCGAAAAGTAGAAATAAGAGTACTTGCTTACCTTCTTCTCTTATATTTTTAGGTGTATTTCTAATGTTCGCATCTGTAGTTGTAATGACTTATTGGTTGACTAAAAAATAGAATACCTAACCAATCAATATAAAAGTATCTATGCCAACGATGTAAACATTGTTGGAGATTTAGCCTAATTTATTGACGTAGATAATGGTATTAACATATTTTTTAAATCATTATCTGAAATTGTTATATAGGTATATATAGATAAGAGCGTAAATTTATAAACTATATGTAAATTTTAAAATTCTTGCCTAGTTTAGTCGTCTCATTCTGTACATACTTTTCACTTAAAATAGTTGATTATTTGTACATTTTTAGAAATTATGTTTTTAGATACGATAAATTTAAATGTAATTTGTATGTTAAACGTATAGGTAGCTAATATTGGATAAAAGTTGGTGTAGGTAATTCGCATTTTGTATTCATTCATGACTTGTACACAACTGTCCCTTCAAAAATTGTTTATAATTGTATTATAGGTATAGAAAAGTCATTTATAGATACCTAACCAATCATTCAATTCATCTACCTAACCATTTCAATTAGGTACCTACAGATTAATTAATTAACCGATTAATTTTTATTCAATATATTAATACTTTTGCAGATCCTTCCATAGTAAACCCACTCCAATAGTAAATTTCATAGATATATTTATATATTTGATAATTTTTTGGTAAAATTATTGTTACCTTTTATTTGTTATATAGTAGGTTACTTTTATTATTTTATACAACATAATTAAATGTAAATTTTCTTTACTTTAATTTAATATTATAGAAAATAATGAAAAGAACTTATTATAAACTGTATAAACATCAATATTAATGGAGAGAGCAAATGTCTGACATTAATTTTAACCATCAAGTATGCACAATTAATCATTGTAATATTAATAATTATTTATAAAATATGTTTTGGAAGTTGTGTGTTGTTAAAACTATTTTTGCTTACTTATTGAGTTACATGTAAACAAAAATCATGATCCTAGTTACATCTATAATTTTTTTTATATTTTTATTTATTTTATGCATGTGTAAATAGGCATTTATTACAATAAAGTTATAAGTTCATATTTTTTAAATATATCTATTATTTTTAAGAAATAGTTTTTATAGAAAATAATATCTAGATATTATAACCACGTCTTGTAGTGTAGATATATCATATTTTTTACAAGGTGACAAATGTGACAATTGTTACGGCCAAAATGAACTAACTAATTCGTCTTTTTTGTCGGAACAGACCTTAGAATTCAAGTCCTATTATATTAAGAAAATTATATTTATCAGGACTAAAACACTACCATTTTAATAAACAAAAAATGGAATGATCTCGCAGTTTTAATATGGCGCATACCAAATTACTCCATGAATTCAATTCTGTCATAGTCGAGCCAAAAAAAAGGAAATGAACAAAACGACAAGTTAAAATAAAGTTAAATTTAATTACAACGTACTTTGTATTAGATACTCCCACAGCCACATCTACCACACAAAATAAAGGCGTTCTTTGAACCAAAATATACACGTGGTGCGCGCGTCAGGGGGTGGGAGTCAACGTGGGCTCCACTGACAGTGGTGGGGCAAAATATTGGATCAGTTTTATCCGTGATGTTCTGCGGGATGTAACAGAATTCGTACCAAGATAAGGTTTCGGTTTGCGGAATTGTTTCGCGTGACTATAAGCATTAGAATCCTTAAATACAACAGGTACGTTAATATTTTTTTTTTCGAAAAATTGAAAATTTTCATTAAAAAATATTTTTTTTTATTTTTGTGGATGAAACGAAAATTACAAAAGTTACATGCGAATAGATGAAAATAAGGTGTTTAAGAAAGTTTACCTAATTTAGTATATTTTAGAAATTTAAATTATTTAAAATCAATAAGCATTCCTACATAAACACATATTTAAGGAATTAAAAATTAAAAAGTCCTAAGTAATTAGATAATTCTTCACCCTATAATAACATCTACATCTATATTTTTTAGATATGGAAAATTCGGCCTATGTACCAAACTCCGCTCATTTGAACTCACCAGCTTTGGTAGTATTTTCACAAGCTGCTGGTGGTCTCCAAGATGCCCTCAGAATACAAAGACCTTTTAATCCACAGGTAAGTACTATTTGAAGAGCAGAATTAATTTTTATTAAATGAATTTTGCAAAAGTTATCGATTAGACACACGTATTGGCCGATAATTTTTGACGAATTTGGTTTCATCATCACGAATACAAATATTTACCAAAGGAAAGTATATATAATTTATATGGTACTTTCTAGATTGTTTTTTTATAATAACTATTCGTAATAAACGAAGCAAATCCATGCAATAATTTTTGGAAAATGTACAAAAAATATCTTCCTTATTAAATGTAAAAAAATGAATTTAAATAATCATTTTTAATTTCAGTTTACCATGTCAGAAGCAACTAAAGACCTGCACAGGCCTTTTACAGCATCGTCTTTCGGACTGAGACACATGGAAGCCTACAGCGGCATTCCTGCTCATATCCTCAATCACCTCCAGCCACAGTTTCTTCATCCAGGTCTGACCCTTGGTTCGGGAGCATTCCGGCCTTTATCCGACCTAAAATCATTCCCTTCACCATCAGCTTTCGCTCCTCCTAAATGTCTCAAAATCGAAACCAGCAATGAGTCCCTTCATGCTAGTCACAACCACAATATATTCTCTCCTTCTGAGGACAGGCTGCTGGGACCTAGTCCTCGCACAGATTCCTGCTCACCAGCCAGCGCTTCAATGTCTCCACAGCCTCAAACAGCCGTCAAAGAGGAGAGTCTGGACGCTCAGATGTCCGAAGACGGCGAGGTGCAGGGCCAGGGCAATGAGAGCGATTCACCAGGAGTTCACGAAGACTCCAGAGGGTTCAGAAGTAAGTAGAGCCTAATTTTTAAGCACGATAACCTGCTGAATTTATTGAGATAAATTGCGAATACATATATTGAAAAAGTGGATCTCATCTTCCTTCTACTTAAAATTGTTACGCCCAATGAATTTCCTAAATACATTTATCCGTTTCGCTTAAATTTATATATTTATGTTAGGTATATAGGTATTAGATCGCGCGAAATTCGCGCGACTCAATTTTCAACTGAAAATTCGATTCCCTCCAATATCCTGAAGAAAAATTTTACGATTTAATATACTTTTTGTAGAAAAAAATACGCCACACACAGATTGGCTTTCGGGAATGCATATCTACGGGAAAATGACATGCAAAACCTTGCTAAAACCCTCAAACCGTTAACATTTTTACATGATAAAAAAGGTTATGTAAAATGGGATTTTTCCCTCTTTTCCTAGTGTTATGATCATGTTTCGCTGCTGAGAAGTTATTCATCCGAATACGCGGGCGTAGAGAAGGAAAATCGGGGGTGTATTTAACGATTTATCAAATAAAATCGTATAAAAAAGCGAAGAAAAATCACCTATTCTATTAAATAAATCTAAATAAAAGAATATAATTATTTAATTAAAATATTGTAACAACATTAATAGTAAATTAATAAAATACATAGTTTATCAAGTATACACACTATGCACACCTAATATAATTTCTTCATCTAAATATGGAAATACATACATGAAAAATTCGTCTTCGGGATTAGATGAGCAATTCTATGAATAATTGATTATAGTAAAATTTCAGAAAAGACTCGGTACGCCTCTGTTTTAGTTTTTGGGATGGGTTCGAGATGATGAGAACGAGGCGACGGTGCGGTGAAAGATCGGCAATCTGAATTGTTAATGATCCGCAGGGGTAGGTTGCAGGATTAAAAATAATTTTCGAATGCATAATCACACTTATTTCGATTTCGAGGATTTATAGAAATTTACGGGGAAAATATTTTTAATAAATGTCTTGGTCGTATAAAAAATGGGGTGGGGGTCGAATCAAATTCGCGAGCAATGTATACAAATAGCAATACTAAAATATTTTTATGGTTTAACAGTCTTTCTCGAAAGGATATATTACTTTCATTTGGAATCAATTGCTCCCTATTTCGTTGGTCTGTGCAGAATCGGCCTGAGCTCTTGAAAAGGTATGCCTAACATGTATGCAGTAAGGACCTTTAAATTATATTCAAAAGTTAAATTACCTATAAGTGCAGTTAATTCTCAAAAAATAACAATGTTCCCTATAATAAAAACGCGTTTGATATTTAGATACCTACAAAAATGTTAAAAAATATATAATACTATACCTCCAGGCCAAAATATAAACTGCAAGTTGAAGATGTTTCATTTAACACACTAACTGTTTTTCCTTTAGCGGCCTTTATTGTAGCTAAAAAACTTTTTTGCATTATTGTTTGCATTTAGGCCGGATCTGACTCCATTCCGCCGAGAATAGGGGGATTATTGTTGGTTCGCTGGGTAACCGTAGAAGCAGAGAAATCATTCTCACACACAATTAATGGCTACAGAAATTAAAAACGTAAAGACAGTTATTGGTTTCGATTGATACGCAACGTTCCAATAATACTCAATCTATTAAAAAAATCTGAAGGAATTGCTTACAGGTGATGGAAAAATATTTTTTCTTCTGCTTTCTATCTTTTTTGATTTTATTATTGACTGTTTGACCGATTCCTTCGTTTTCTTTTAATTATACATTTTTACTTAAAAAAATCTAATAGATATTCAAAAGAAATTTATTGAACAATCCATTTTTTTGTATTATTCTTTGTAACTTTTTTTCCTCGTTTATTTCTTAAAAAATAGCCTAAAAAATCCGCGTGTCCTCATAAAACTCCGTTGAAGTTCCAACCCCCTTAATAATTTTTACGAAAACAATTTTTTCCTCATTGTTATCTATATTCCAAGATGTTTTCACGACCGTGCCGGGCGAAAATTACGATGAGCAAAAGTTCCGGAAAGAGCGAAAGGCCAAAGAAAACCAAAGGGCTGTTAAGAGCTCTCAACCTGATACAATATAATTACACAAAGCTTCGGTATCATTTTGCGGCTTGAGTATTCATTAGCTTTAGTTACCGTGGTCACCGAATCGCAGTGGCGTAACGTTTGTGCATTAGTTTTGTCTTTTAACACGCGGGATTTTCTTATTAAATTGCATTACAAATATTATTGCCATTTTAACGCTCCCCATTCGCCCCAGCAAATAACCATAATGTGGACATCTACTGCCTCATAAACCACATTGTTATGGGATTCCTATACTTCGCTAAATATTGGTGATCGATGTTGTTTAGGTTTCAGGTTTTATTTATAGACGCTAAAACCGTAGAGCCGGCAAATGCGATAGCAAAATAAACTGCCAGTTAAAAAGGATTACTTCAAATTACATACCGATTCCCAAAATTTTATGTTGTTATCGGGATTGAATCACATAATGTTTTTAGAAGCGTGCCTTCCATATTTCGCGAATAAATTTTCCTCATTTATAATTCGGAATAATTTAATAACACTCCGCAAATATGGATTTATAATGAAGAATGGTACTTTCTTTGAGACTCTGATTGAAAGTCGAAGACCATGTGACTACTCTGAGTTATAAATGCCGGTAAAATTTATGTACCTGTATGTTGGCTTTGCCCAAAACATCTACCGACTGGTATAATGCTGTTATTAACGATTAAAACAAGATATATTACACGTTTACGATGAGTTATTTACCATTTTGAAACGGACTCAAGTCTTAAAAGGATTAATTATTGTTCAGCCGATAAACAAAGTTTTTTTCGATAATCTCTCGGAAAAATCTAATTAGCTGAGAACTATGTGTTGTGTTTACAAAAAAATTTCGTCTTGTTAAGAGGCTCCTCAGTCGAATAATTTTTCCAAATACCGCGGCGGATGCTTGTTTCTTCGATCTACGCATATTTTAGTCCACAGCGTAAATAATTAACTTCTTTTATTTTTTATAAAAATACATCATTAGTCTTCAATTTTAAAAATGAGATTATTTTAGTTTTATCGATAATTCACGTCAAACACTTGGGTCTCATCAAAATATTACTGTTTTTGTTGTTTATTATAAAGAAAAAATTTAAAGTGTATACCTCATAATAAGGATTCACGTATACGCTTTGCATTTTGCAACCGACTGTTTCATTTGCGTTATGATGATGGAAAGCGCAAACAAACCGACCAAATGGAGAATGATAAAGAAAATTCGAGTTTCGGTAGAATTGCGTCCGGGCGTCCGGTAGCGTGTTCCGAGTTGTAGGCAAATTACTGAACATGACCATGTTTTGTGGCGAGAATAGCCGCAACAACAAATCATATGTAAGCTTTTACTAACAGATTTTAACTGTCTGGATAATGCTACATAATGCGCGGTGTTACGAGGGAAATTGGGCTTTGTGCGTGATTTTAACGGCCATAGTGGTTTGTGTGTTTTGTGGTTTTTAGTTTTTACTTCACTTCCGAACTGATGCACATACTCATTTTCTCAATGTTTTCATATTCCGCTCTTGGCATAAAAGCTTTCCTCTTGAAATTTATAATTAACATAAAAATTAATGTAAAAGATATAAAGAATAAAAAACTGAACGCTTTTATAATTTGCTGTTGCTACATTGTAGTTTTTTAAGTATTATAATACCATAACAATGGCTGCCAATAAAAGTTGTTATTTGCGAGCAACAAAAGCATTTTTGTCAAATTGCTCAATTTAGCATAGTTAGCACAACTTAATTTATGAGAATACTTCGATCTGTAGGTTTGTCATTTTTTACGATGGATTGGAGGCAAGAGAGCGAGTGCCCGTTGGATTGTGTCAGTACCCTTGCAGGTACTAAAGTTCTTCAGACGTCGAATGCTATTGTCCCAACAGTTTAAAAAAAACTTTAAAGCTTCCAATAAATTATGGAGTTGTACATCAATCCGTGGTTGTATTTTACATTGATTTTTATGATGAAATATTCGCCAGCACTTTAGCGAAAGGTATTATAAAAGTTCCACCGGCATAAGCCAGGCATTGGCGCGCTCAAAATCTAAACAAGCAAATTATAAATAGTTAAATGATTGTAAGAATAAATATAGTTTATTTGAACAGAAAATTGTAATGATTCGAAGTTACATAAAGAAATTGTCTCATCTGCTTTGCTAAATTAAAAATAAACGGGCACTTTTAAATTATTCAAAACGTGTTCACGATAAGTGGACAAAACAATGGAGAGAATTCATCATTTGTCATAAAAATGCATACCTAACAAACCGACAGCCGTTTTGCCAAAAAGTTGCCAGGATTTCTGTATTTCAATTAAAAATGTGCAAACAGTCGCCTCGCTTGTCATCCATCTCTCCGAATTCCAAAACTCCCCTAATTGATTGAGTTAGCACCCGGTTTTCAGAGGTATAAAATCGCTCGCCATGAAAACGCCTCAAATTTGATTTGAACAATCGGATGCGCTGATTATTCACGTGCAAAACATATATCGCTCTAAATTTTAAACGCTTACGAACCAATGGCTAATCGACTTATCTTTACCTATATAAACTATAATCGATAAATATACTTTGTTAAGATCAAAAGTTAGAATTTTCATTTCTTAATAAGTTCGCCAGTAAAATAAATAAAAAAATAAAAGTCAATTTTCGTGTCACTTGCCAAGCTGTCGGGCTAATTATAGAGTATATAGAGAGCCAGTTATTGTGATTGTTTTGCGGATATCCCTGCGTAAACGATTTATTTCACACCAGGTGGACGCAAGCCACTTCTGAGGAAGAAACAATAGCTCACTAAGTTACTGTTTATTTAGTTAAGGCAGTTGGGTCTCATCTACCCATATAAACAAAAAGCTCGGCCTTAACCAAACAAATTTTAATTCAATCTTCCCCGGTCGCATTCCGACATAGAAGGCGATCGAATATTCGTGAAATATTCATTAAAATTTAATGTTTTCT